CAACAGCGATATCGCTGTACTTGCTGAATTGTCGCTGAAAATCACGTAAAAGTATAAAAATGAATTCTGTTTACAGGCAATGCACGCCCAGTGCTTGTACCAGCAGTCTCAGCAGTACCCTCCGCCCTCCCCTACCCCCTCTCTCTCCAATTTCTCATTGCCAGTCCCATGTTTTCTGCAGCAGATCCAGCAGGCAATGGGAACTGTATCGCTGGCTGACGCTTGTCAAATGTCGCAGTTGCGGCCAAAACGAGCCGACGAGTCGAATAAATTTCAGTTTGGCGCTGAAATATTTACGCAGCAGCCAACGCTCTCAATTTCCAGGAACATGCAATAAGGCGTAACCGCAGAAAAAGCTAAAGCCAAAGCTAAGGCAAAAGCAAAGTGAGCCAAACCAAGCCCAGCCCATAAGCAAGCGTAAACCTCATATATGAACTGGAAACCGAAAAAGAAAAAAAATATCCGCACATATGCGGCTAATAAACTAACCAAACATCCCAGACAGTTGCAGATCCGGTCACAGCTGCACACACACACACACACACATATACACACTCATCATACACAATGTATACTCATTCTATGTATATCTAAGCCTTCAACGTGATTTGTCTGGTGGTGCGCTTCAACTTGAGGCATATACAGCGCGCGTGAGCAAATAATTGAGTTAATTTCCAAGTTTTTGTGGCAAAGACAACACTTAACAAGCATCCAAGTACACAAGCATAAGCATAAAAAGCAACATTAGTAAGTAAACAAATATGAGAACTTGTGGAGACACTTTTCGCACTGAATATTCTTAATATATCAATCAATAGTGAAGAGTTGGGCATGGAATTGACAGTTTTGATTTATGAAATTTGTTGTAAATGAATCCGTGTATTTATATATTTATATGTATGAATTGGGGCACTTCATATTTGGTTCGAAATGTTATTCTTAATTGTATTTCATTGAGTAGACCTGCTCACCGGCAGATGATAAAAATGTTGGCTGTGATGATAAACAGAAACACGAACTAAATTGAGAGATGTGATACAAGAGCGCAGTGAAATCGAAATCGAAATCTCTCAGAGAAATTAAATGAAATTTATGGAATTTTTGCATTAATTCATTTATTTTATTGCTGCCAATAAATAAATTTCATTTTCTCATGTTATTTGTTACTGGTGCTGCCTCTGTATTCTTTTTCAGCATCATTTTCCAGTGGCCTGTGTGTTTTTCTGACTGACTCGCTTTTGTGTGTTATTTTTAATAGCATTTTTCCCCATCAAGGAATTTCGACGCACAAGCGATGAGAAGCTGAAACCGCAAATAAAACCAAATGATGGAGCCTCGGGGCGGGCAAGGGCAAAGGCTGGCAAGGGGAGCTGGCGGACGAGAGGGAGATGCTGTATGGCAAACATGGAAAATAAATAAATTTGTCAACAAATGTGGCATCCGATGTCGCGTCGTGTGTGGGTGAGTCGGCATACCATCTTTGAGGATGGGGAGATACGAATATACGGCGACAGTTGAGCATTAATTTTGTTTCCCTAATTATTAATTTGTAGCTGCCGTTGTCCGCCGGCCCTGATATATGTAATTGTTGTTGTTCCCGTTGTTTGCTGTCTGCTGCGAATCGAAATGTTTTATTGGCCTATTAGCGAGGCATTTAAATAGTAATCAAGGCGTGTTCAGATGTCCAGGTAAACCAGAAGTCACGCAAAGTCACAAATGAAAGTCCAAATAACAGCAACAGCCGTAACTTGGCCAACGAACAGTGCAAACAACTCTCCAAGTCGCATAAACCAACTGCCCAGCATGGAACTGGCAGGGAGCAGGCCAAATTGAAAACGAAAAGGAAACCAATTGATATGTAGCGACAATCGATATGCCGAGGTGTGGTATCCTCTGATCCGCTTTGGGATGGCATGGTCTGCCAGCATTCGATTCGATTTTTGTGTTCCACTCTGAATGGTCACGAGAAACCCAAGCGTCTGTGGGCACGCTCGAAGTGGCAAGAATAGCAGGGGGGGGAATGAAGACAGTTAGCCGTTCTGCTTTGGCACGCCCTTAAACCGCACAGCCAAAGCAACAAGGAACATGACTTTAGGGTTGGCATTGGGTGCGTTGGCCTCTCGCACCACCTCAAAACCATGCCAGAATTGGCTGGTACCTGATGGCAGCCCCAGCGATGGCAACATATGCAGAGAGACGCAGCCTAGCACAGTCGACAGACATATGAGTATATCCACTTCGGTGTTATCCTGACAACGTGATTGAAATTTATGACTGGCAAAAATATACACAGCCAACAGCAACAACAACAGCAGAAGCTGTGAAATACACAAAAATAAAAAGCAAAAAAAGCAGTGAAGCAGAGGAGGTCCCTGTGATAGACACGTGAATTGAATGTGTGTGGAGTGCAGGGTTAACTGAGAATGCTGAGCATCTCTGACTGCTTTGTGACGTTATCTGTGAGAAATTGCACTGAATAAAAAGCACTTGTACGCATTAAAACCTAATTGGGAATTTCCATAGTTCATATGCCATTTTCTCTAACTGTCCACATGCGTGCAACTGTATAAATGCGTGTGTTATGTGTGTATTATGTGTGTGTGTGTGTGTCTGTGTGTGTGTGTGAGTGTGTGTGAGTGTTGTGTGTTTGTGTTTGTGCTGCTCCCTGTGGCTTGTTCTACATATTTTGGCTTGCAAAATGTCACACGCAGCCAACGATGTCCGTTGAGCATCAAGCTCTCTCCAGTGATTGCTGTTACTGTTGTTGTTGTTGTTGTTGTTGCTAAGTGGATTTTACGCTTGGCTATGATAAATTGAGGGACTGGCAGAAGGCAATAGCAGCAGAGACAGCAGCGTATGGTCAACATTAGAGTGATTCTGAAAAACTCCATTCAGAGCACTCGCCAAGGTTCAACTACAGACTCTATGGTTGCAACGGATGAGAGATGAGTGTGTGTGTGTGTGTGTGTGTGTGTGTGGGTGTGCGGGTGGGTGTGTCAGTGTGTGTGTGTGATGTGATGTAAGAGAGGGATGAGCATAGACTGAATGAGAAGTGGCCAAATGTCATTTGCAGTTTGACAAGATCCGAAATAGGGGTTGACTATGGGACTAAACATGCGTTTCATATATATTTTCAAAATATTTATCAAAATTTATTATTGAGAATATGAAAATTAATTATATGAACTTAATCTGTTTGCTTAATTATATTTGTTAGGATTGAAGCATTTCTCTCCTTTACCCACAGTACATGGCGTACTTTCTTTTTGAGTCCTTTCAGCCAACGCGGTGCATATCATAGAAATTTTATCAATTTGAACTTTAAAACGACCAATTGACAAATCCAAAGTAATCGACTTAACCGTACCGTTTTCAAAGTTGAGCATCCTTTTGAGCATCCCTTGGCTGCAATGTCCTTGCTGCGCTGCGCTACGCTGCACTACACATGCGGACAGCTCTAGTGATGGCTATGAGGACCATTGCCGTAGTCGCTCTGAGATAAGCAAACGACAAACGTCTGCTCTCCTCTATGCTCTCTCCGCCTGTGGCTTTGATTTATTGTGTGCGGCTCAAAGTTGTGAAAAGGCTGAATGTCTTGGCAAAGATGGCAGCAGCCAGGAGGCGGTAACGTTCGCCTGGCACGCGCTTATCAAAGCCGTCGGGAGTGGAGCGAAGACCAAAATATATTTATTTGCAGTGACTTTGAAAAGAAACTTCGACCATTGGCGCTGGCGAGCAGAAACTTTCGACCTGCGTGCGCATCGATTAGAAAACTTTTCGTCGTATCTTGTCTCCGGGACTTAAACGGGAGGAGGGCGACGTCGAGAACGAATTGGCCAAGTTGTTAAATAATTGCTTTGAGCATTTAGTTGCCGTGGCACAGTTGAGGCCCCCTGGTACATGCAGCGAATGCTTCATATGCTGTCCAAGGACAACAGCCAGCTGTCGACTGCGGACTGTGGGGCTTTTGATGTGCTGCATACGTGGCCCGGATTATCTACAATGTTTGCCAGCAGCTTAGCGGCAGTCGAGTGGATGAGTTAATTGTGCGAATGTCAAGACAAATTGCGTTAATGCGCCAAGCGCCAAACAAAAGGCGACACAAGCGACTACATTTATGTCCCCACTAAATCCCATAAGCAAAGGTCAGGGGGCATTGGGGGAGTTGAAGTGATTGCGATAGCGTTGTGTGTGTTGTGTATGTGAGTGTCGTAAAAGTTTTTAAAAAGTATTTTAAGCGAAATTTATGCAAACCACAAGGCAAGCTTGGCAGCCAGACACCAAGGCAGCCAGCCAGCCAGACACAGCACTCAAAGGACATGGCTAATCCCCGAGTAATCAAAGTTTTGGCCAATGCCAAGCGAAACGAGCAGCACAAGAAGCTGCATGCTAAAAGCCAAACAAAGTACAAAATTCGACTGACACAAGTTCAGGCAAATTGCAAACACACACGCACAGAGCATGAGCGGGTTTAGGCATTGGCGGGACTTGGAGGTGTCAATTTTGTTTGAAGAGAGCGAAACAGAAGAAAGAAAAAAAAAACACTTTTCCAATTAATGAAATCTCAAAGCTGCCATAAATTAGCCCAGACGCAAATAATTAAATTGCGTCGGCTTCCCGGCTGGCACACGCATAAACACAATAACTAGACTTGTTGACTTATATGCTCTTGTGGCTGTGGTACGAGCCAATGACTGACATGTCTGACCAATTGTGCATTAACCATGCCCCGTTGGCAGACCACAAACAAAGGCAGTTGCTGGTCAGCACGTTAGCCTTGAAACCGTTGAAAGTGTCGCCAACAGACGTCAGACTGGACGAGGGTTGATTCAAAAAGCCAGGGTATGAAACAACTAAAGGGATGCCTTTGATTAAAGTTGATTTAGGAAATATGTTCTATGGCTCTATGGTATTTAAAGCAAAAAATTGGTAAATATATTTGTTTGAAAAATCATAAAAACACCTCTTAGTTGTATGAAAACTTAGATTGGTTGGCTTACCTGGCTGACACTGGCATTCGCCATTGGCTGCAAGGCTGCCACTTAGATTTGCTGCCGCTGCCGCTGCAGCTGCCTCTGCTGCTTGCCGCCGCTGCTGGCGTCGCGTCAACTGCAGGTGGGAAACATCGCGACGCAGGCGATGCAGTTCACGACGCACATGCAGCGCCAAGTGTGGCGATGAACCGTTCTCGTTGTTGGCACTGTCACCAGGACTGCTCGAGCTCTCTATGATGTGAACCTGTTCGGCGGGCCAGTGCATCAGCTGCTGCTGCTCGAGACGCAGCTCCAATTCGACGATGCGTGCATCCAGATGCTGCAGTCGCTGTAATCGCTGCTCGATGCGCGTCTGCCGCACATTCGCGTACAATGCGAAACTGAAAGCGCACAGGCAGAGCACATAGCTGGCAATGTGCAGCAAGGACATTAGCTGGACTCGATACCTCGGTCGCTCCTTGCTGCTGGCTGCTGTTAATGTTGCCGCTGCTGCTGTTGGCGCTGCAAGGCGACTAGTTGTGCTTGTTGTAGCAGCAGCTGTTTTTGCTGTTGCTGCTGCTGTTGCTGGTGTATTGACATCGATGGCCGCATGCCCGAGCAACATGCGCTGCTGCTCCATTTCGAGTGTGGCAGCTGATGTTGTTGCAGCTGCAGGTGCTGCTGTTATTGACGCACTTGCTGCACTTATATCGCTGTGCCCTATTTGCATTGTCCTGGGCATGGGATTGGGACTGATTGGGTGGCCGCTGGGCGGCGCTTTGTGTTTGCGCATGCTGCGATTGACGACTTTCCACTGACTGTTTTAAGCTAATGCTTTAGATGTTGTTTCTGCTGCAGCTGCTGCTTGTGTGTTTAAGTGTGTTGGCGGCACTTGAAGTGTCCTTGGCTCATCACAAAAACACATGTGTTGCAGTGCCAGCTGCTCGTTTTTGGCCAATGCTCGCGTCCTTGTTGATTCTCAACTATTTCGTTTGCTGCTGACGTTCCGTTGCGGTATTTGTCCAGCACATATTGTGCCTGTAGAGCTGCTATTGTTCACAGGATTCACGGTCCTGTTGCTGTTGTAGTGGTTGATGTTCTTGTTGTTGCCAGGCCATGGCATGCGAGCCGCATACAAAAGCTACGCGGCCATGGATTGCAGCTTCAACTTCTACTGCGTTTTCTGCTGTGGGGCTGCTTTTTTGGAAAGGTCTGAGTGGAAAAACTAGCTGCGTGCTTTTGGGCGTTGCTGCAACCGCTGCTGCTGCCACTTGTGCCACTTGTCAAACTCTTGCAAGCGTGGCTTTTGTTTTTGTCTTGTCAATCGTCACAGCAGCTGGTTCTTGGGGAGCTGTTCCTGGGCTCCTCGACAAGTTTTCTGACAGTTTCCACTGAGTTTGTCCTCACAACGTTTTATTTTTTTTCTTTCTCTCTCTCTCTTTCTCTCTCTTTCTCTCTCAATCCTTCAGACTGTTGGCTAGCGTGCTAGCGTTTTCACTTGTCCCACAAGCGCTCTTCACATTGCAACTTATTTAGTTCTTGAGCTCTTTTCACTGCAACGAAACGGAGAGAAAAGTGAAAAAGTCAAAAATAGAAAAAAAGTAAAGCACACAAAAAAATATATACGTATTGGGGTGGATAAAGTTTACAAAAGTTGTCAGCAGAATCGACGCAGGCGTTTGCCGCATTGGCCATGCTTGAGTTATGGCAACTGGACCCAGTCGACACATTTTCAATAATCAACCGAGCACCGTTCTCAGGACGACATCGTTGCAGTGACGGCGCTAACTTCGTTTTAAGTCCAACCAGCCGTGTTTAGCGGCTTCCAACAAGTGCCTCAACGTTAACTTGCCCCAAAACTCAACTTGTTCATAAACTTTTTCGCAGCTCGGCAAGAACTGAAAAACAAAAACAACAACAACATCCTCAACAGCAGCAACAACAAGAACAACAACAAACAACAGCTGCCATTGAGGGGCACTAAAAGTATTTGACCCACAGACTTGGCGTGTCAAAAACATTTGCTGCCTACAGTTGCTGAATGACATGGATGGGGGTGACTTGAGATTTTCAGCGGGAAAGCCACTTGAGTTCGAACAAAACAACAGACAATATAAAACCCATAAAATAGAATAATTGTCATGTTGAAAAAAATTAAAGAGGAACGCAACTGAAATGTGCTTTATGAAAGTTGTTCAAGAATGAATCATGGATTTAAGTACATCTATAAACAGTTTTTATGCACAATCTAGCAAGTACCCTTTTGTGAGCTGAATCGTAATAAATGCTTGTAGGCTTGATAGGCCCATAACTGTACTGAAATAATAGTAAAGCTTTACTTTGTCTCAAACTTCACGAAAATACGAGCATTGCAAATATATTAAGTTGCATAACAGAGAGTCTTAAGGCCAAATTAAGAAACAAAATAAATTTAATATTATTCTGAAAGTTTTTTGGTTATAATTTCTTAAGTATTATGAAAGCATCAGAGTGGATTATGCAAGCTGATACACTTAATGCGTGTGTGTGTGTGTGTGTATGTGAGTGTATTCGTGAGGCATATATTGCGCAATCATGCGGCAACTACAACGTAGGAGTACGACGGAGAGAATCGCGTATAAAACTTAAAAACAATCATATGAAATGCGAGCAACAGTGCGCGCCACAGCAAACCACAATACAAAAATTGAACATAAAAGTCAAAAGGCCAATTTCGATGAGCCGAGCAGCGTCGAGTGTAGTCAACAATAATAACAAAGAACCGAGTTGAGCTTATTGGGTGAGGCAGCGGGTGCAAGTCAATGGAATGTTTGGTACACCCTAATAAAACTAATTGAAAGTCTTGTGCGCTGTGAGGCCAATAATAATGCCAATAACAACGGATAGCAACAACAACAGCAACAGCAACATCAACAGCAAATACAACAGCAGCTGCTATGCAATGAAGCTTTTAATTTAACAAATAAGAGCGAGCTTAACCGAAAAGCAGAGACTGAGAGGCAGACAGTCACACAGACAGACAGTCATTCAGCGTAAAGTCAGCGTTGACCTGAATGAGCATTGCTTTTTGCGCTGACTTTGCAGCTGGACACTCGTGTATATACATATATAGATATATATCTATAAGGGACTCCTTGCCAGCTAAAGGTTAATGCTTTTTGATGCTAACTCAATATAAATAAATTGATTTGAAATTTCAACAGCTTGGCGCGCAGCTTTTGTCCATTACATGGATCTGAAGCACCCCAACGGGAGGGCGGGCCACGGGCGCTGGGCCCCAAAAAGCATGCTATGAATTTTTGTGCGCACAAATTCAATTATGTGTGTCGGTCATGACTGAGTGTGTGTGTATGTGTGTGAGTCCATGTATGTGAGTGAATGAGTGTGTGATTGTGAGTGTGTGTGGGTGTTAGCAGACGCTACTTAGTAAACACACTCACTCGCATACAAAAATACATACCACATCTGTGTATGTATTCAAGGGTATTCTACAGCATACAATGTGTGTGTCCAGCTGGCAATTGAAAAATTTGATTTCGAATTGAAATGCAAATCAAGGAAAATAGAATGGCATTAGCCAGGACGAGGACTACTGGACAAACCAATTGTGCCCAAGAGCCAGGCTCATCCAACTGGGCGCACAATGTTAAGTTAAGTGCTGCACGTAAGTGAATGTGTTTTATGTGTGTGCTTGTAAACCTACAAGCGGAAACCGATTGCGGAGGCAAAGGGATAGCCAATGGCTGTAAAAAGCTCAATTGCAATGCATTCAAAAGGATTATTGTCCTTATTTATTTTGCTAAATTTATTCGTTACGCACAAATGCGCAACACCAATACACACACAGAAACACAATCCACACATATGCACACAAAACAAATCCATACATACATATGTACATATATATATATACATATATACATATATATGTATGTATATAAGCAAGGAAAATGAAAACATGAAAGAGAACAGCACCACATAACACAAGGGCAAAATCAAAGCAAATAAACAATAAAAATAATCGGGCCGTTAGTAACACATGCGCATTCTTCATCATCATCATCGTCATCGTCACTAGGAGCGCCAGGAGCAGCACGAGTTGACGCCTCAACAGCCACCGGTCACATCACATCTACACTCAACTTTATTGTTGCGACTACACAACAACAACAACAAGAACATCGAGCAGCAACGCTCAATATCTTCGGGCTGCAAAGCCGTCCATGTCTTGGGCTTCAGGGGCTGTGTCGGGGTAATAAATAGTTGTCGTGTCATATGAAAAATGCAAGCAGTGTTTAAGTTTTTCTTGGCAGCCAGTTACGGAAGCATTCTCTCGCCCTCCCGCTATACATATACCCACAGGGCGACTGGGTGGCGTAGGGCGATGGATATGCCATTTCCATTGGCCGACCCACATATTTTTTTGCTGCTTCATCGCCGAAATTGAAAAAGCGTTGGCCCAAGCCAAAGAAGTGGAATGTTAATGTTCGACAGGCCGAATCGAGCGAAACCAAAACGAAACCTCTTACCCAATATCATTTACAGTTGGTACAGGTGCCAGAAAGGTCTCAACGTTGGTAAAATGAAGTAAAATCAAAAAATATAATAATTTTTAATTGTACAGTCAAATGAATTATTTTTGCCAATAGTCCAATAAGTAATAAATAATAAATTTATATTTTTAAAAATTCTGCCTATCGGTTATATCAGGAAAAAATTCAGAAAAACGAATGTTAGATCAAGTTTATCAAATAGATTTCTAAAATATTCATTTCAGGTAAAACATAGTATTTTTGCTAAAAATACTAAATGTAATACAACAATAAAAGTTTATACAAGCAATCTCATTTTGACCGTGGTTTAGCATAATACTACCTAATAAAAAGCTATCCACAAAAAATCTAAGCCAAAAATCACAATGTTAAACTTGAGAATATTCAATTTATAGCCTCTTAACACCAAATGAATTTCTCTTAAGTCTTTCGCCAAGGATTACCATTCTGAAATGATGAAACGCTAATCCTACAGCTCAGTAGAAAATATTTCCATATTTCTCTAGCCAAAAGCTCTTAGATACTTTTGATACCTCATCGGTTTATGGGTGAATGATGTGCCTGACTTCAGTCCGTCTAGTTTTATCTTTCGTGCAGCATGTTTAACACACTGTGGCTGTTGTTGTTTATGTTCTAGCCATTTCCTTATAATTTTTACAGCTTGTTTTGCTGCGGCTGCTGAAGATGCTGTGTGTATGCTTTGGATGCTGCCACTTCTCAGGGGTATTTTTTATGTGCCGACTACATGCATACACAGAGAGTACAAACTATTAGTACTATTCATTGTTGTTGCCGTCTATGTCGTCTTTGTAGTTTTATGTGAGTTGTTTTACAACACTGTGGCACGCCCACTCCTCAAATGGTACTGCCGCACCTCCATCCAACTTGCCCTTGGGAGAAATTACTTAATTTCGGAATTTCAATTTAGCACTTAAGACCCCAAAAACATTGCCATCCCGGCAAAAATGACGAGCAGGCGATATAACACCTATGTACCGAATTACATATGTACATATGTATGTATGTATGTACGTGCATAAGCTACAACAATAGAGAGTGTTTTCTATGGTTGTGTGTGTGTGAGTGTGTGTATGTGTGTGTGTGTGTGTGTGTGTAAAAATCTTGCTTACACATGTTGTGACTTTTAAAAATTTCCGGAATTTTTGGCACGCAATGTTTGCTTTTGTTTACTGGCTAGCAACTGGATGCCTGTCTTGCATCCAGTCACCAACTCAGACGCCTCGGTTCCATTGGTTTGCTCATTTCACAGGCAGCGAGTCCGGAAGCAAGCCAAGAGGTAAGAGCATAGTGTGTATATGTTGCTCGGTTGCTGTTGCAAAGAATTGCACTGGCAGCAGCAGCAACTGCAACTGCAACAACTGCTTACACAAGCTTAAGTACCAGTTTTCTCTGGCACTGAGGCAGAACTTTGTCATCGATATAAACTGGGATGCATACCCAAATACATATATGTAAACATATGAAAAGTGTATATACCAAATATATTTGTATGTGTTGTATTGTTAGTATATAAACATATATATGTAAATGGGGACTGAAGTGTTGCTAAGCATGAAACACGCATGAAACACAATTTTTAAACTTATGATTGTAGTGAAATAGAAATTATACATATAAATATTCCTTTTACAACTATTTAAACCTGGTTAGTAGTTGCACTAAAGCGCCAGAGAATAAATTAGTTATTCGAAGCACACGCAAGAAATAAATCCTTACTGCAAAAATGCAAATGAGAAACTAAGGCATTCTTTGGCAAATGATGCAGTAAGCCACTTGGATATCTACTGGTTCCTAATTCGCACATTTCATGGCAAAAGTTTTTAGAGCATAGTCTTCCTGAACTCAAATATATGTTGAAAGTATTTTAGTTCTAACAACTACTTAAAGAAGTTTTCATTTTCATTAGATCATGCTGTATTAGCGAAAGCTAAACGAAAACTCATGATAATTAACCGTACATATGTAAGCAGCTATCGACG